CTATGACACATATGGCACACGACAATTTCTCATTCTAAGAAAAGAAGAAAAAGGAGGGCAGTGAACTACAATAATTAAAATACTTGCAGCAAGAATCAAAGAAATCAGTGGAACTGAGTAGTGTACACGCTAGAATCCAGCTCATGATAAATATGGCTGATCACATTAGGATAGCAAAAAATGATTATTAAACAAATGACTTTAGTCAACTGACTATCCCCACCTGAAAAGATATATGCAAAATATCCTGACTGTATTAAAGACTTAGATATAAAGCTTAAAAAAAAAAACAGTAGTGGAAAAAAATATGCATATACACACAAAAGTTTAACATTCTCTAATATTAGAATGAGGAATAATCTTCTAATCATAATACCAAGCCAGAAAGCATTAAAAGACAGACAGATTTGAATACGTTTTTTAAAAAGTAAAATTCTATATGGCAAAAAGTACCAATAAAACACTAAAAATGTGTAACAAATTTCATATATGACAGGCAAAAGAATAATGTCATATACGTATGTATTGATACAAAGTTCTCACAAGACAAAAAGAAAAAGACAATTCTCAGAAGAAAAATATGCAGAAGACAAAAACAGACTTTTCATAAAAAAGAAATTAACAAATGGCCAGTATTAAAAGATACTTTAACTCACCAATAAAGAAATTCAAAGTAAAATAGGACTTTTGTTTTCAACAAATTATATATTACATTGGCAAAATGGTGACAGTGTCTGCATTGGTGAAGGTTCACAGAAAGGGGCATTTTTGCATGCAATTGGTAGAAATTGAGTACAACATTTCCAGATGACAAGTTTTATCAGTATTTAAAATATATACCACATTATAACTTTATAATGAGAGATATTTCCATTTTGATATATTTTTAAAAAAGGAAATAAAGAAAGAAACCCAGTTTTGTATTAAACAAGTTCATCTCTCCTATGCCAGGCTCTAAATTATCAACTTACACCCATCTCAACACCCTGTCTGGCCTTGTCTCCAGTAAACAATGCTCCTAATCCTCCTCTAAACTCAGTCCAGCCCCTGAGGTAAATCCCTCTCCCACCTACGCTCTTCTTCCCTCTCTCAAAGGGCATAACCTTGAGAACTTTGCTTTTAGCCCTGCTTTCTTCTCTCTCAACTTCCAGGTTTTAGACCAAGATTTCACTTGCAATTCCAGCCACCAGTCACATGCACACTTTGAATTCTACTTCTACCCATTCACACTCATGTTTTAAAGTTTTCTCATTTTTCAGCAATATTATATGGCTGCCAAATTAACAGCACCATGTTGAGGAACAGCTCAAAATTTTAAAAGCACCCCCACAGTACTCAATATTCACTATTCCTTACTAGTGTTTTCTGTTCAGTACTAGACTCGATCATCTAAGGTGGAAAGGACTGAGAGAGAGTTTACCAGATAACCAAGAAGACAATTTGAAGGTTACAGATTATGGGTAAAGCAGAAATTGCCTTCCCTTAGAAAGAAAAGGCTGATAAGACATAACATGGTTCTCAAGGCATATGAAAAATTGAGCATAAATTGATGAGTCACTTTTCTCCATCTCCAGTTAAAGTCTGAAGGGGGTAACTGGTCTAAGCTTTTGGCTACATACAGTAATCCCCACTTAACTCACAAACATTCCTAAAACGAGTCCAGAAAGGCAAAGCGGACCATTGCCCTGCATTCATTATCATGGTTGGAATGATCACACTGGCTCTAAGACTGATGTTATCTACCACCAGATAACATTGACTATCTTGCTGAGGTGAATTCTGACTGAATTACATTTGACAAGACAGATGAATGGCAAATCTTATGTTATATATATTTTACCAACGAAAATATATGAAAACTCCTAGACATATACAAAGATGGGCTGGTTGTTAAGCTAAAACTGTTTAAGCCATGTTTTGGACTGTATGTATGGATTGGCAATAAAAAAAGTACCAAAAAGACTAGGCTCCAGAGGTAAGAGTGAGAGCCACTTCACAATGAGAGCTACCATGACCAACGAGGATGGCAGGGATGACTCTCTCTGAAGGTCTGAAATTAGGAAAAATAATAAAAGTGACTGCCATTTATTGAGCCCCGCCGTTCTGCCAGAACTGTGCTCCGTACATGTAAATGTGCTATATCATCTAACTCTCACATCTAACCCCACGAAGAGGTGTTGGTATTCCTATCCTTTATGGATGCAGATACTAGGGCTCAGAGAGGCACAATCTTATCACAACACAAATACGAGGTGAAACAAAGATTTGAGAGGAGCTCTACCTAACTCCACAGCCCATTATTTTTCTACTACACAATTCTGATTCATATGTGGTTTAGCCTAAACTCAAGAGAGAGGATGGGATAATCTCAGATTTCCCATTCATCAGGTATTATTTTTGTGAATGTATTAGATGTAATCTTTCATCAATACATGACACTTACATTCTTCAGGAATAACCTCCAAATTCAGTTTCCTGAAGAAAAAACAAAGTAACCTTTGCAAAGAATTCAGAACCATTTACCATTACAGAGAATTTTCCAGCACTCATATATGTATTAATGAATACATAGATTAAAAAGTCCCAAGGAATATATGTACATATTAATGTTCAATCAATCTCTCTTCATTACATAGTCATTGCCTTGACACCATGAAACCTATGCTAACATTTATAGAGTACCTACTGCATACAAGGTCACAGTCTGAGCACTGTGCAAGAATAATAAAAGATTAGAATCCATACTCCCTGCCTCCAAGAGCTTGTAATTTTAGTATCAGAGGCAAGATAAACACGCAAAGGACACTAAAGAACAAAGCTGCCATACAAACGTACAAATTAACGAACATAATGCAAATTGAACACTTACGTGCTGAGGAAATAAAGAATTTATTTGCCCAGTGAAGTTCTTGGAAGAAGTGTAGTTAGAACATTGTTTAGGTAGACAATAAATAATTGTGAAGATAAGAAACACCAAGACATCCTCAGTTAATCTATAGACACACCCTTAGGTTCATTTTTAAATACTATAAAATTACGAACTAGTAAAAAAGGCAGTTTACTAAGGAAAGTAGTAATTAATATAATAAGGTGATTTGAATTTTTAAAAAATTCTTATTAACATGGATATCAAGATTCTTTCCTCTTCTTGTTATCATTATCACTAAGATCACTGTTGCTCACTATTTTTCAACCAGAACTGGGAGCTGGCTATACCAAGACAAAAACTAGCATCATGAATACAGCCAGTCTCTAAACACGTAACAGCTCTACCAACAAAGTCAAGGCCAGACAGGAAAGACAAAATAAGGAGAGTATAATCATGCTCACTAATATACAAAGGTAAAGTATATTTTCTAAAAGCCAGAGATCATGATCAAAGGCACATGTTTCCATACACACAACAGGAGCTTTCAGGTGGGTAAAGCACACAGGCTGTCATGACTGGTATTATTATATTCATGATGATTTGTTCTGAGAGTCATGTTCCTGTTGTTGCAAATTAAATGCAAAGACACAGTCCTTCAGTCCATATCAGATGCTTTGTTATGCTGCCTGTGTTTTAATCAGATACAACAGTAATAACCAGAGTCAATGCAGACTCAATCTCCTCCTCCACGTGGGGGTCCCTCTGTCACTCTGGAAGTATCCCCAGGCAGCTCTGAGATATGGAATCTTCACTCAATTTCTTGTCCCTCATATTTTAATCCATTCAAAACTCCTCTGATAAAAGAGCAACTGCCAGACCTGAGACACTTAAGTCTGTCTTTGGGGAAATGAAATTGATTTTCTTCATTTTCACAGAAGAGCATCCCTGGGTAATAACATTGTGTCTGGTCATACCAATAAAAAAAAAATGTAGGCAACATTCTTTACTGTACCAGAGGCTGAATGGTTTTGTGAAGTTCCTACAGTGGAGGTAAAAATTCAGCCTTTTGCTGTTAGACCATAAGTTTCACAAGTATAAGAGTAACTTCTGACCAAGAGACTAAGTGCTTTGGTGCCTCCCCATCTGCTCCCAATCAGCCACAGTGGGAGATCAGATGGGTCACGGGTGAGGGGCCAGCCCCACATTCTCTGTGGTGTACACTCACCATATCCCTTCCCTTTTCTTCCTGAGCAAACAAACTAATCACGTTCTACCTTTAATCTTTTGACTTTAAGATAAAGAATATCTAAGGGCAATTTCCAGTGAGAAAACTACAACAGAAAAAAACAACAGAATTTCGGGGCCCTTTAACCACCTAAACAAATTCACTAATTTGTATAGGCTTTACAAAATTTCAGAAATTTTAAATGATGGATTATACCTAAAGGGAGAATATGAAATATTAAAACTGTAGCTTTTTGATATTTTTAAAAGACAACAATATTGACGGCTGCAATACATAACAAAAATAAAAGCGGAGGTGCTCTGGCTGAAGAGAAGCTCTGAGCCTAGAGCCCCACTAGCTAAGCCTCATTTGCCCCAAATGCAACCCCATTTGAAACACCCATTCTGTCAAACCCCATTTGTTAACCACTAACCTACAGAAAAAACAGATAACCAGAACATGCACACTGGCATTCAAAAATCTCCTCCGGCCCTGGCCATTGCCAAGGAAGACTCCAGAAATATCTCTCATGGCTTTCCTAAGAAGAATGCACCCCTAAAAGTAATTCTGCTTTCAATGTTTCACAATGAATATGACCATTCACTGTATAGCACAGAGCTTAAAAAACATTCCACTTCTCAAATGTTCCCTGTCCCTTCTCATTCATTCATGTGTGTACTACATATATATTATACAAGACATGTTGTATAAATAATTCCACAACACACTGTAAATATTAAGATGCATAATTTTTCCATACTTTCCTAAGTTTTTTACTTGGGATATGTTTAGTAGTTGACACCCTGAAAAACTCTTTTTTCAAGATGAAAAAATGCAGTTCTGCTTCTCAAAGTCCAATCTCCTTATACAAAAATAAAAATCATTTATTAACCACTGAGAACTAACCTGCAGACACGGGCTGGAAAATATAATTTCTGCCAAGAACGACACAGATACTGGGAATGGTCTATCACTCTAACCCAGTCAAGTTCATCCATTGATACTTCAATGAAGTATGAATAAGACCTGTGAATCAAAAGGAAAAAGCAGAAAAAATTACCATATTAAAATAACAATACAAAACTGTACTTTAATAAACTGTTAAAAGATACAAAAATACAGAATTCACTAATTACATTTTCTACATAATGAAATTCAAATAACAAAACAATGTTATGACAGCATTCACCTACAATGCACTGAAATTATCTCTCAGGTTGTCTGTCTGCTTTCTCAAATCATAAGCTGCTTAAGAACAAAGGCCATCCTGTATTTATACTCATATCCCCAGGGTCCTACACAGTACTTGACACATCAGGCATGCGAGATATTTACTCCTTTTCAAACATGGTCAGGATGCCTCACCTATACCATATTAGAAGATACATGATGCTACGAGAGAGAGAAGAACAGAAAATAGAGAAGCAGAAAGTACACTTTCTCCCTCTACCTTCCCAGGCCAGGGTGTTCGGCCACCCCTCTAAGGAAGAAAGTCAACTTGGAATGGTTCCCCCACAGAGGGCAGCCTATCTCCTGCTGCCTACCAGTCTCCTACCCTCCCATACATACAAGCTACCTGCAAAAAAATAAATGACACCAGTCAAGGGATAATGCACGTTTCTTTTGGGTACAACTTAAAACTTGCCAGCTGATAATCTGGCAGTAATGAAAACAGCCTATCATCCTCCCCTAGTCAGCTACTCCGAACCATTACATGCAGGTCCCATCCTGAACAAATCTATATTCCCCTGTCATAAGCCAAATTTAAATCTGAGATGCAGTTATTACTTGTACTGTAATATCAACAGGAACAATCTTGGAAGATTTAGGTGACCATAAATGTCATCCTGCAACCCACAGTTGTGACCAGAAAAGGTCAGCTTATTTTGTGTCATCCCCTCATTTTCTTTGCTGTCCCCTCACTCCCATTCATTTTATCACTCAGTCTCAAACTGGTTATAACCTTTTATTGAACCTCTCTGGGTTATCAGTAACACAGGCTATAATTTTACAACACGTCAGAATCTTTTTGGCTTAAGATTCTGAATTTTTCACCTTTGCTTAGAATGGCAACAATTTCTGTAAGAAAAGAACTGTTATGTGGTAAAGTTAAATCCCTCGTGAATGTAATGCACATACTAACACAAAGTGGCCTATAAATATTTAACATCACAGAAACGATGACAACCACTTCGTTTCAAACATATTAAACTTTTCTTTTATTATTTTTATAATAATTTCACTATTAGTTAAATGAGTGAAATACGTAAAACTTTTAGAACAGTGTCTACCACATAAAAGTAATGAAAGTGCTGCAAATACGTATTATTATTATACTGTTATTATTAATCAGAGACTCTTGGAAATGAGATATGTGGATTGGTTCCACTTTGCCAATTAAAAACATCAAATTATATCCAATAAGCTACATATTAGAAAATATATTCTTAATAAAAAGCAAACAGGAAAAGATAACCTGGGGATCTCACACACCCATGCACATGGGAAATGCTGACGCTTACTTCATAAAGCTTCCCTTTACACTGGGCTCAAATGGCCTAAAAAGCCAGGGTGGTGGCAGTGGTGCTAACAGAAGAAACATACTACCTTGTAAGGTTTGCAGGACACCATCATCATTACTATTTAAGCCCTTCATGCCCAGATCTAAAGAGGCATCAGTGGGGCACAGTTTCTGGGTAGGCAGGGTTTAGGTTTATGATAAACAGCAATGAAGGAAACAGTTCAGTTCTTGTCGCCATACTGCTCTGGTACTTCTGCCATTATGGCTGAACCTAGAAGCCACAGTGGGTGAAAGCATCACAGTGGCTGGACGAAAGGCAGAATTCTGAAGCCCCCAAGAAACTGAATGGGTTCCCAAACTGGATTAAATTTTCTCACAAATTTCTTTTGTTTTGAGGATAATACTTATCTACACACTGAAAGACAATATTTCTCTTTGCCATAGGGTAAAATGCATTTAAAAGGTTATAATATCCAAAACTAATGAATCAAGTAAATAATGTTAACTCATGGTAGAATATAAAACAACTATTAAAAATACATTTTAGAGGAAAATTTTTTAAAGGGTAGAATGTTCACAATGTATTAAAAGTAAAATTAGCTTTTTGTATATCTAATCCATAAAACTATGTTTGCGCAGGTTTCTGTTTTGTGTGTGTATGTGTCCATGCATAATTGAAAAAAACACTAGCTAGCTACGTATGAAGATTAATAATCGGTAATGAGATTACTAGCAATTTTTATCTTCTTCTATGTGCTTTTCTATATTTTCTACCGTTTCTACAATAAACACATATTATTTTTATAAGAAGAAAAAAACAAAAAAGTGTATTTCTTTTAAAGAAATGTACCCTTTAACTCTTTCCCCAAAACCAGCCTTCAAGAGATAGCAGAATGATCACAAAGAGATAAACCATCATACCTATGTAACAAAAGTAGATGACCACAAAGTTAAGTCATCTCAAATATAATGTCAGTTTCTAAGTCATGCTAATCACTTACCGACTATCTCGGTCCCATAGGAGTATCCGTACGTGATTGATAATGGACGGCTGACCTAGCTTAATCTCGATGCCAGAACGGCAGTCATCATCAATTGGGTGCCTTGAAAATCCATGATCCAAATCATAATTTTGAGTATCACCATCTAATAAGGCTGATTTCAGCTCCCCCTTTACAACTTGGGCTCCATACTTCATAGTTGCAATGTTTTCTTCTGGTACTACAGTTAAAAATAGAAAAAGCTAGGTTAATGGTCAAGTTATTCTATATTTTTTGAAAAAAAATAATTCTAGCATTCCACTTTATTCTAGTATCTGCATTTAAGAAGAGCATAGGCAAGTTTATGGGACAGAAAATACAGAACATCTATGAGGATTATGACACCATTCAGAGGCCAGGTGCAGTGGCTCATGCCTGTAATTCCAGCACTTCAGGAGGCCGAGGCAGGTCACTTGAGCCCAGGAGTTTGAGACCAGCCTGGGCAACATGGGAAAACCCTGTCCCTATTAAAAATAAACAAACAAACCAGCAAAAAAATACTGTTCAGAGTTTAAATTTAATGTTAGTATCACAATCACAAAGTGCTTGAGACTAATGTTACTTTTCAAAAGTTAATAAAACTAGAAAAGGCATGTACTAGGACAAACAAATTGGCTCTGCTGAGTTCATTCTATTAGTAACTTAAATATCTACTAAACAAAAATAGCATGTAAGATGACCTGTACCTGCCATCTGGACTGAGGACAGTGTATAAAAGCAAAGCAAACAGGTCAGAAATCTGATAAAACAACAGAAAAAGAAAGGTTCCAATATAGCATAGCTGTTAGTCATACATGAATATGCTGAATCAATTAATCTGGCTTATAAAACAAGATTGTTTAAAAGAAGATATCTTTTTCTGCACTTGAGAATTTTTAAAAATGAAAATTGATAGTCTGTCATCAAAATCAGTATTATGGTTACTATTAAATCCCCTCCCCTCACCAACATTAGATTTATTAAGTATCAATTGTGCCTGGGACTCTGAAGTCCTCTATGTAAAATATGCTTCACAGATCTGGAACCTATCTTCCAGGTACTAACATTCTAAAACTGACACTTTCCATGGAAAGACAAGAGGCTGCAGAAAGATGTTAAGAGCTTGAAGAGTCAGAGATTAAACAGTGGCTTCATCTTTAGCCAGGTACATCACTTTAAAGAAGTTTCCCTCTCTCAACTTCCATTTCTCAATGGCGGGGGGAGACCTCCCCCTCCCCCACCCCACATATCTATCCCCCAGGTGTTTCTGTTTAAGAATTAAATGAGATGATGTTTGTAAAGCATATTATGAGCTCTACTCATATATATATATGCTTTTCAAAACATATAGCCATTACTATTAAGAAAACATATTAAAAAGCACATAATAAGAGAACTATGTAAGTTTACAGACTATAAAAAAATACCAAATTCTCACAGTACACACACATTTTGGCTGTGTGATTTGAATAGGGGAAAGTGTGAGCTATAATCAGGTTCTTGTTAAAAAGTAATTCATCATTGAAGATTTCTGGAAAAAAAATTTTTTTAAATTTCAAATCAAGATGAGTAAAGAGAGTGGCACCAGAAAACAACAATAAATTGCAGCTGAAAAATGGAAGTTTAAAATGGAAGCAAAAGACTGTAGCAACCCAGCAAAAATAAACAAAACATCCTAGTTATGCTTAACTTAACATCAGAAGTTTAAGTGCTATCGATTTATAACTTTCTAAATTCTATTAGCATGTGATAATCACCCATATTCTTCCTATTTAACAAATCTTCTATAATACATGATGTGCTAGACACTGTCCTAAGCACCTTGCAAATATTAATTCCTTTGATGTACTCCTCATAATAATCCTTTGAGTACTGTACTATTATTACATCCATTTCACAGATGAGAAGTGGAGGCAGAGAAAAGTTAGACAGGCTTACTTGCCCCAGGTCACAGAGCCAGCAAGTAGCAGAGCTGAGATTAGAACCCAAGCAGTCAGCCTGCATGGGCCCTGTGTTTTAACAGAATATTCTGCTACTTCCCTCTTGAAGGGTTTCTGATGAATGGCCATACCTTCTCCCTCTTTCTAACCCCCACTTCCCTCTAAAATTGCCTTAGACCCAGAGGAAAGAAACAAATAGTCTGATATAGGGAGGAAAAAAAAAAAAAAGTTAGACTTAAAGTGAAAAAACCTAAGCTTAAGATTCAGGTTCTATTATTCACTCCCCTTGAGTAAGGCCTGTCAGTCTCTCTGAATCTGCTTTCTCATCTAAAAAGAATACTTTGTCCAACCGACCTCATAGGGTTACTGTAAAAATTACAGTACGGATAAAAATTATGCTACAGATAATATATGCTAAAGTAACATATAAAGCACTCATTCAGTTCCAGTCAAAAAGCATTTTTCTGAGGACTCATTCTGTACCAGGCACCATGCAAGGTTTTGGGAATAATTAGCGAACTCAACAGAGATAGGCCCTGCCCTCCTGACACCTCCGATCTAGACAGGAAGTACTTTATAAGTAAGCAAGCAAACAAACAAAAGCTTGAAATCCATGCTTTTCAGATATCAATGATGCATAACTACTTGGTAAAAATAAACATGTTTTCCCTTCTTGCTAGGCATAAAAAGTGGAGGTGCAAAGTCTGTCGCTGCTGATCCCTGGAACCATCTCCTGCAGTCCTGACACCACAAGTCAAAACTAAGCCAAAGGCTGGGCATGGTGGCTCACACCCGTAATCCCAGCACTCTGGGAGGCCCAGGCAGGTGGATCGCCTGAGGTCAGGAGTTCAAGACCAACCTGACCAACATGGTGAAACTCCATCTCTACTAAAAATACAAAATTAGCCAGGTGTGGTGACGTGAGCCTGGAATCCCAGTTACTTGGGAGGTTGAGGTTGCAATGAGTTGAGATCGTGTCACTGCACTACAGCCTGGGCGACAGAGCCAAGACTTCATCTCAAAAATAAAAAATAAAAAAACGAGGCCAAAGACGTGAACATCAACCTCTCAGAAACTAATGCCACCTAATGCCACCTTTGGATTTTCTCTAAACGTAAGTTTCTTCAACATTAAAACTTATCAAGCTAGGGGTAACATACTAGGCACAAAAGTTTCAAGTGATTGTGACTAAAGTCTAAAATGGAAATGAAATTTCTACCACAAGTCTAAGTCTTCTTTTGAAGTTTATTTCAAGGGTACTTGAAAACTTTCCTGACCATTCTTGATACAGACAGATTCATTCCCTGAGAGTATTTTTTACTTCAAAACAGAGAACATCTACACAAGTGGAAATTCTCTCATGGTAACTATAATATGAGTATCTCATTGGATAAAAATATAACTCCAAGAATTTTTCTGCAAAATCCATAATTAAGTGATGAATATAATAGGAAGAATGATCATGAGAAAATTTAAATCATAATAAAATAAATCAAACTATAAATATTCTTAGCGGCTGTATCTATTAGTAGAGAAAAAAAAGTTCTTAAAAAAATACAAAGTGCCGGCTGGGCGCAGTGGCTCACACCTGTAATCCTAGCACTTTGGGAGGCCGAGGCAGGTGGATTACTTGAGTACAGGAGTTTGAGACCATCCTGGCCAACATGGTAAAACCCCATCTCTACTAAAAAAACAAAAAATTAACTGAGCATGATGGTGGTACATGCCTATAATCCCAGCTACTGGGTAGCTGAGACAGGGGAATCACTTGAACCTGGGAGGTGGAGGTTGCAGTGAGCCAAGATCATGCCACTGCACTCCAGCCTGGATGACAGAACAAAACTCTGTCTTGAAAAAACAAAGTGATAGAGATTAAACAAGATAGTAGATAATCATAATTTTTTACACATAATTTTTAATGCATTTTACAAGCATTAAGAAAAATATTAAGCTTTGAAGTTCTACAGCTAGGTAGAAATTGCTAATTATTAGAAAGAAAAGTTAAGGAGAAATGAAGCAGAACGTACCCCTAGCTACACAGTGCCAAAATCTGCAAGGAGTGCTGGTTTAATTACCTCGTGCTTTTCTTTCACTGCTTTATGTTCTTCATTATCTTTTATCGAACTCCCTATTACATGTAGGTTGACATGGTCATTTGCCCCAGTGGATTATTTGGATCCAGACTTAGTTCTCTGCCCAAAGCAATCTACTTACCCAATCCTGTCACCTAAATTATTTTTTACTCCCCATCCCAACTTCCCTAGAAAATGTATGGATACTCCCTTCCTGTGAATAATCCCCAAGAACTGCAGCATTACAAGTGACTTACTTTACCATTCCTGTGTTACCTTAACCCCACCCCCACCCCGCCCCCGCTTTCCCACTCTCTGCAGGCCTCCTTTCCACATTTGACAGTACTGGTACTCAAACATACCACAAAATGGAAACAAAAAAGAACCCAGGCAGAAGAATCTATGAAGGAGTATTTGCCTGGTGAGTCACAAGACCAGCACTTTGGTTCCAGTTCTGGCACTGAATTCACTTGGTAATTAGGCAAGTTACACAGATCACAGAGCTGAAAGGGACCTTCATCCTATTAAATAAAAAAAAAAATCCTATGGTATTCCTATGTGCTGCTCACCGTACTAGACTCAGCTCTCCGGAGCTCACCACTCAGGAGACAAGAGCACATACACCAATACTACACACTCCCATGGAGGAATACTCATTAGAGATGACTTATATACCCCCTACTTACAGATGAGATTTTCTCTATCACAATAAACTATAGTTGGGAAGATACAAACAGCATCTTCTATCTTTGAAGATACAAAGTCAAAGAGTTTTATTTATTTTATTTGTATTTTTTTAGAGACAGGGTCATGCTCTGTCACATAGGCTGGAGTGTGGTGGCGCAATTATAGCTCATTGCAGCCTCAAACTACTGGGCTCAAGCCATTCTCCTGTCTCAGCTTCCCAAGCAGCTGGGACTACAGGCACACACCATCACACCCAGCTAATTTAAAAAAACCTTTTTTAGAGACTGCATCTCACTATATTGCCCAGGCTGATCTTGAACCCCTTGCCTCAAGTGGTCCTCCTGCCTTAGCCTCCCAAAGTGCTGGCATGACAAGTGTGAGCCACTGCGCCCAGCTCCAAGAGCTTTGAAAGTATTAAAGGTTCACTGTTACTATTAGTGTCTTTATGTGATAGATGAGACAAATTTAAATTCTAGTTTAGAAGCCAGGGATGGATTCATTCA